GACTCAGGTCATCATCCCAGAGTCCTGGGATCGAGCCCTGCATCAGGCTCCCTGCTTAGTGGGAAGCCTGCTACTCCCTTTCCCACTCCCCCTGCTTGTGTTCCCTCTCTCGCTGTATGTCTCTCTCTGACAAATAAATAAATAAAACCTTTAAAATATATATATATATTTTTTAAAAGATTTTATTTATTTATTTGCGAGAGAGAACAAGAGACAGAGAGCACGAGAGGGAGGAGGGTCAGAGGGAGAAGCAGACCCCCCGCTGAGCAGGGAGCCCAATGCGGGACTCGATCCCGGGACTCCAGGATCATGACCTGAGCCGAAGGCAGTCGCTTAACCGACTGAGCCACCCAGGCGCCCTAAAAAATATATTTTTTGAAAAATGGCAGCATTCCCTAAATTAATATATAGATTGAATGTAGCCTCCATTGACACCATTGGGAAAACGTCTTTAGAACTGAAGTCTAGTCAATCTAACTTACTTGAAAATATTGCAAAGTATAAAAGTTACAGCATTGGGAGTAAAAATGAAAAACAAGCCCCGTGGACAAAATAGAGACTTCAAAAATATAATCTGTTGGGGTGCCTGGGTGGCTCAGTCAATTAAGCGTCTGCCTTCGGCTCAGGTCATGATCCCAGGATCCTGGGATCGAGCCCCGCATTGGGCTCCCTGCTCAGCGAGAAGCCTGCTTCTCCCTCTTCCACTCCCCCTGCTTGTGTTCTCTCCCTCTCTGTGTCTCTCTCTGTCAAATAAATAAAATCTTTAATATATATATATATATATATATATAATCTGTTACAAGACTTGGAGGTGTAAGTTACAAACCAAGAATAACTTAGAGGTGAAAGGAATCACCTTTCATGAATTTTGCTAGGGCACTGAGGAAAATGGACTTATGTTTTTGTCCCAGTTATGGATAAGAGATTAATTTAGGACTATTTACGAAAACAGTGTTTTCAGAGATCAGTTAAGTTTGTTACCATAATAGCTATTCTCCTGAAATGTGTCAATATCAAAAGGAAAGCAGCAAAGAAAGAATGGGTAGTTGTTAAATTTATGCATGTTTTGAGTCATGAGCGTTTGTTATACTAATTTTGCTTACTTGTATGTTTGAAATTTTCTATAATTTTTTAATTAAAGTAAAAGAATGGGAAAGATATATAGTATGTTTAACTGAAAAAATTTTTATCCAAAAATACAATGCTTATATATGTCAAACATATATATAGTTCCGTAACCACATTCCATTTATTCGGTAGAAAAAGGACATCAACAGGCAGACAAAGGAAATGTTGATAATAAATCATTACACAGAAGAACCTGCAGCTTTGTTATTAGTTAGGAATAAATTTAACATGAAAGCCTTGCTGTGTATTTATTAAACTAGAAAAAAATTATAAAACCTTACGTTGGCCAGACTACTTACTTCTATACTCAGTAGTGTGACTGTGTCTTCCTAGAGGGAAAACTAGCAATAGACAGTATTTATAAAATCGTTCACTCACTTAACCTAGTCTGTGGGATACGCAAGTGTCTAAGACATTAGTGAATGCTACTAAAGAATAGAATTACTTCTCTAAAATGCTGTAAACTTAGGTGGCCCCCCAGTATAGGTGGCCTTTTTGGCCCCTTAATATTTCTGTAACAACTAGCAGTGAACACATATTACAGGTCAGGCACTGTTTCCATCATTCAGACCTCCCAACTTCAGGAGGGTAGTTTCTATTACTTCATCTTACAGATGGGGGAACTCAGTCTTTGCAAAGGGAAGTGATTTTCCCCACATCACACATTAATAATGAGCTCACTCAGGATTTGAGCCCAGGCAGTCTTCAAACACCCTGCTTTTTAAATCATTTCTCCAAACTCCCTCTCAAAATGAAAGCCATGTATCAAGTAGTTGACTTTCCTGTGTAGGGCCATTTAATTGCTTCAGGATAGCTACTACTAACATTACAGCTTCATTTTAGTATAGATTCTAGACGGCTTTGACCATAATGCTGATGGGAATAAGCAGTGAAACAGATCTTCTGATATATAACTGATGACATTGTAAATAGGTACAGCCTTTTTTGGAAAGCATTTTGGCAGCATATTTCAAGAGCCATAAAATGCTCATGTTTTTTGACCTAGTTAATGCCACTTCTGGGAATCCTCTAAAGAAATAGTCTAATATGGAAAAAGCCGTAAGCACTAAAGTGATCACCACAGCTATGTTTGTAATAGAGCAACTGGAAGCAACCCTAAATGTTCTCAATAAAGGAATGATTAAACACACCATGGTATATTTACTTAGGCAGCCAATAAAAATGAAGTGTGATGCAACATAGACAAAGAAAACACAGTCATCTTGAGCTTTCAAAGCAGCACACAGCTGTATCTGAACTAAAATTACAGCTTTTACAAATATGAAAAAAGATGGAGGGGCACTTGAATGGCTCAGTCGGTTAAGCTCCTGCCTTTGGCTCAGGTCATGATCCTGGGGTCCTGGGATCAAGCCCTGCATCCGGTTCCCTGTTCATCAGGGAGCCTGCTTCTCCCTCTGCCCCTCACCCCGCTCATGCTCTCTCTCGCTCTTTCTCAAATAAATAAAATCTTTAAAAAAGAAGATGGAATAGAACAGTGTTGCGGGTGATGGTTTTCTTTCTGCTGTTTTTCAAGCTTTTTGTAAAGTAGATTTATTCCTAATTTTAAGATTTAAGTCACATGATTACTTACTGTTTTTGTGCATTCATCTCCTAACCCTCACTAGATTATAAGCTGCATGTTTAAAAAGAGCATCGCTGGACACAGGCAAACTTCGAGCACCTTGCAGGTGCCTTATTTACTGGTTGCATGAACCTCGGCCAGTCAGTCAGTCTCAGCTGACTCATTTGACTCATGAAGTGAGCAGTGCAATTTGCAAAACATGAGTGGAATCTTTGGAGTTGGGACCTTGCTGGGTGTCTTTGGCTGTTAGACAGGTGGCTCCAACTTTGTAAAGCTCCATTTCCTCATCCATAAAAACAGAGCTAGTGAGATCACGGTCTGGTGCTCCTTTAGTAGAGGCTCTGAAAATGTTCCTTCCATGCAGGTACAGCCCTTATAAAGTGTTCCCCACCTTTCTTTATCCTTGCATGACAAAAGCAAATCTAAAGTCTTCAGCTGACTTCTTTTGAGCAGCAGCTTTTGTATGAAGATCTTCTGGCATAACTTGTTATCTCTAATTTAGAGTTAAGGACGAAGAAAAGCTTTGTCATTCAGTGTGGCTTGAAAAATTTTCAGTTTTGTTTTAATCTTTTTTTCCCATATAAAAATATAGTAAATGGTCATTGTCAAACATTTGGAAAATACAGAAAGCTGGAAGAAGAAAATTATATCATAATCTTTCCACTTAGAAGTAACCATTACACATTTCATTTTATTTCCTTTTAATTTTTTCTGAATATCTGATTTTTTTAAGGAGAAATATAGGAAAGCTCTTATTAGAACATTTGTTATTTTGGGGGCAAGTTTAATATGATATTTTGTGTTTGTTTTGAGATAGTTTACCTTCGATAATTGATTCTTATATAGGGAGAAAGACCAAGCTAGCAATAAGGAACCAGATGGAGGATGGGGGTAGAGATATCTCTGTCTTAATTAGTAGGACAGTTTTTTCTGTAATTCTGATACCTGTCAAAGAATGAACTTACGTAAAGTCGAATTACCCAAATCATGCTTCCTGGACTTTTTTTTAGGACAATTACAATTTTAAATAACTTGTGATGTTTTCTTTGCAAGTTATCTTGTACCGTTTCAGACCATGAGTTGTGAATTTTGGTTTGGAAAATATAGTCCTCATACATAAACTTGGAATAAAGAAGCTTACAGAATAACCACAATTTCTTGGCTCTGGTCCTTATCATTTTTAGAACATGCAGTTTTAAAAAATCATCAGTCCCTGTAATATCCTCTGGAGAAAAGGAGGAAATTTATCCAGTGACAGAACCAACAGAGCAGCAAATACCTAGAAAGACAGCCTGAGCTACTGTGGCCTTGTGGGGCCAGGCATTGATGTCACATTACACTGACTTGTGCTGGACTTGTACTTAAATCAGAAAGAGAGAATGTTCTTGTTGAAGGATTGAGAGCATCGATCCCTCTATTTTCTGGGCTTTGCTGTTCAAGGGAGGCTTCTGCAGGATGACTTTAAAAGTGGGGGAAAAGGTTTTTTCCCTCTTTCATTTCTTTTCTTCAGAGCAACAACAGAATTATGAAAGGTGACAGGGTACATCCCATATAAATAATTCTCAGTGTGGCATATCTGTCATCCCCACTACATCGAAGAGGACATGAGAAATGTTCGAGGTCAGTGTATTGTCTTGCCTCATCACTTCCTTTGAATATGCCACTGTGGCTTGTGCCCCTTTGACTTCTGAGGTCTGCCGCCACAGGCAAGAGACTCTTGATTGGTTGGGAGTAGGTGTCCCTCACTCCTACCTAAGTATCTGCACATCAGGGAAGTCACTTGTCCTTTTGAGTCATTTCTTCTGACAAGGATGGGCCATAACTCCTTACTGATACTTGGCTTATTAACCCTTTCCAGTCACTTCCTCTTTGAGGAAAATCACTTGACCTCTTCACAGAAGAAAACCTAACCTATAACACCGTTTGAGGACCCAGCTTAGAACTTAATTGACCTCTACAGCTTTAGGCAGGACTTAAGTACAGTGGGATAGTGGGGATTTGGAAGTGTCATGTGAGAAGGGGGCAGATGACTAAACCCTGTAAACTTTCTACTTGGAATAACTTTGGTCCCTCCAAAACTGTGCTTGCCTGAGATAGAACTTGGTGCCCTATGAAAAATTATGACCTGAGATTTTTGAACTGCTGAGGGAAGTAGTATCTAGAAGCTGCATAGAAAGCTGAATTTACATGCTCTTTTATAAGAGAAGATGATCGGTTCCACTTAATTAACTGTACTTTTTAGACTTTTTCTGTAACTGATTATTGATAAAAATGATTTAATTTTTTTCAGTATTGCCTGTCAGGGCACCCGACCTTACCGTGCAATGTGCTCAAATTCAAATCAACTACCATTATGTTGGACTGTGGACTGGACATGACTTCCACTCTCAATTTCCTTCCTTTGCCACTTGTTCAAAGGTATGTGCTGCTGTATCTGGGACAAAATGAGCTTTAGTGTGCTGAAAAATTGTACCGATTAGCGTAAAGATTACCAGTACCTTGTGTGTTGTCCTTAGTTTACTTTGTTCCCTTAAAAATGTTCTTCATCAGAATTATTTCCTTTGACTGGGTTGATGGAAAGTGTTGTATTGATTTATTGATTGACTTCTTTATTATAACTTCTTCTGAGCATCTGTAAAATGTCTCTGCAACTGCTCCGTGCAAGTGAGGTCATGTATATTTCATCTTTCTTGCTAATTCATGTAAGAGCTGATAAATGGTCAACTGATGAGCCCAAGAATTGGATTTTAGAATCATTTAATTGCCTTTGCAGGGACTTGACATCATAGAACCTGACATTTCTTTTTGATAGGTATCTATGTGTTATTTTCATAATAGTCAGCTATAGATATCGTAGAATCATATATGAAGCCAAAGTCCTTGTCTTAAAGCAGATAGATTACCCAAAGTCTGTAGTCACCACTGTTCACTCTTACTATGACTTTGGCTAAGAAATTGGTTTCCCAGCTTGCTGCTAATTGAAAACAGCAATTTATAAGAGAGGTGGGTAACTTACAGAAGCAAATATATTCGCAGTAACAAAAAGTGATATCACATAGGAGAGACAGAAAAGCTATCTAAAGCAGATTTAAGGCTTAAAAGCATAGCAACCTGGGCAAACCATCTACTATATCTCATTCATTCCTGAAGACATCACTCTGGCAATGATTATTCATAATGATAATCTTCTAGAAAAAGTATAATTAATGATTTTTTTTTTCTGAGATAAGGGATACAATAAGGTGAAGGGGACAGAGAGAATTCAGAGATAATTCCAGATTATATTTTATGCAAAGCTGATAAAATTCAGTTATAGTCATACCCAACACTTAGAAATACATTTATTATCCACAGATATTATCTTTCTATTTATCTATCTATATATATTTACAATTGCTTCAGAAACTATAGGTATCACGTATATTTCTGTAAAAAATGATTGACAGGTTATTTCTTACTAAAATAGCCTGATATTTTTATTGTCTCTTTCCCCCCAGAGATTACAATGTTCATTTATTTGGTGTTTATTAAGAATCTGCACTGTGCCGGACCAGGGGATACAGACATGAATAAGACAACTTTCCTTTCCTCATGGAGCTTATAGTCTGTTGGGGAGAAAATATTCTACAGTTGAAGATTTCATTATACTTGTGTTAAGAGAACAACTACATACTTGTGATAATTACTAAAAAACTTAAAAATAAGGTATTATGAGAGCTTCCAAAAGGGGGCCTACACACACTGCAAGGTCATGAGTTATCTTGCTGCTCCAGTCCTGAATTGGGCAGACAATTCTAGCTGCATATTTTCCCTTTCCTGCTCATTCTTGTCTTTACCTAATTCTGTGTTCTCACAGCCCTGACTCAGCATTGGAATCCACTTCCACTCTCTTCCCCTTATCATTGTTCTTCTTTCAGAGGGAGATTATGCTAGTGGGATGATTGGCAGCCCATATATAGTTCCTTACAAAAAGTATTTTCTGTTGCTCAGGCCAGAAACCTTGGAGATAACACTTGGCTAAAATAGTACCCCCAGTCCCTCCCTAACCACTCATCCTGCTTTATTTTTCTTCATAGCATTTATCCTTACATTATATATACATATTTAGTTTATGTATTATCTATCTTCTCCACTAAAAGTTTTATAAGGGCAGGGATTTTTTTGTTCTCCACGGAATCCCCAGTGCCTAAAATAGTTCTTGGCATGTAGTAGCTACTCAGTAAAGATCTGTCATATGAATGAATCCTTTTATCTTCTCTGGATTCCAACCCTTCTTGAGAGCAATTTCGCTATTAATTGTAATCTTTCTTTTATCTTGAACCTTTCCATCTTGATTCAGTTCTTCTCATTTAACTATGCTCAGTTACTTCTAACTTAATATTTAAAAAAAATTTTTAACCTTCTCTCGACTCCACTTTCCCCTTTAGCATTACTAACTCCTCTCCAGTCTATGCTTTGCCCATATCACCTATCGGAACACCGCCCGCCAGAGTCACAGATAACTTCTGAATCACTAGAGGCATGGTTGTCAGTTCTCATCCCACTTGGCCATTTGGCAGAACTGCCCTCCAGGATCATGCATTCCTGGTTTTCCTCTTTTCTAACTCTTCCTCTTCTCTCTAAGATACTTGGGAGATTCGTCTTTCTCTAACAACAGTCACATACCAGAATTCTTCAATATCCAGTGCTTGGCCATCAGAGTCTCCACCAAGGCCATTTCCTAAGTGCTCAGGGCTCTGATACCATCTAAACAATAAGCTACAAATGTGTATCTTTAGTTAATAATTCTCTTCTGAGTTCCAAATTCATATACACAAAACGCCTACTGAGTTTCTTTCTCTCCTTGGATGTGGCTTTGAAGGCACTTCAAAACTCAGCATGCCCCAAACTGAGTCCATGAGTAGACTTCATTCAGAAGAGGAGAGAAAACCCTCCCAGACCTAGTTTTCTCCACAGTACCCTATCTTAGTGACTGGCATGCTGATACGAAAGCCAGAAAACTGGGAGTTAACTTAGATATGCCACTCTTTCTCATTGCTCATATCCAATCTTTCATGAAGCCTTGTTATTTTTACCTTCCAAACACTCTAGAATCCAGTCACTTCTCTGTAGTCCTGCTGTAGGCATGACCATCCTTATAGGCATTACTGGCAAGGCCTCCTAGTCAGTTTCTTCAGTTCTGACCTTGCCCTCATCTGAATCCAGAGCCATTTTTGTGTAACTTTTTTATTTTGAAATCATTTCAGATTTACAGAAAAGTTGCAAGAATAGTACAGACAACTCCCAGTTGCCCTTGTTAATATTTTATCACATGTACTTTATCATTTTCTCTTGTTATGTATGCATACAATTTTTTCTGACCCATTTGAAGGATACAGACAGGATGCTCCTTTACCACCTAAATACTTGAGGGCCTGTTTGCTAAGAAAAAGGAAATTATTTTACATAACCACATTATAATAATCAAAATCAGTGAATCAAAATAGCTCACACTGACACTATGCTAGTATCTAAGCTGTATACCTTTTTCATATTTCCCAAGTTACACCAATTCATATTTCACTATAATGCGTTTTATAGCAAAAAAGAATAGCAGTACTGGTCCAGGATCCAGTCCAGATCACACATTGCATTTAGTTGTCCTGTCTTTAGTTTCCATTAATCTGGAAGAGTTTCACAGTCTGTCTTTATGACCTTGTCATTTTTAGGAGTATGGGCTAATTATTTTATATAACATCTTTCAGTTTGGGTTTGTCTGATGTATCCTCATGTTTAGGTTGGGGTTATTTTGATAGGAATACCACACAAATAGTGGCATATACTATCAGAGTGCACATTTTCTTCAGAATCGTATTTTAGAAATATATATCTAATCTTGTCTCTCACCTGTTTAAAACCTTTCAGTAGTTTACATTGCTCTTACAATAAATACCAAGTTCATCTTGGTATATTGTGGTTTATGCCTACCCATCCAGTATCTCACTTTTTTTTTTCCTTTCAGTTTCAAAGAAATCCTATCTCCTGCCTGGGTGCAGTCACACAAATTTTTCCTTCAGCCATAAAGGCTCTTTTCCCCCTCCCCCATTCCTCCTTCCCTTAGCCTACTTATCAAGAGCCTTTATGCCTCCAGTTTCTATATAGGAAGGACATAGAGGTAGCATTCTGGTTGGATGAGGGGGGAGAGTGTAAGTGGGCCTCTTCTTGAAGCTTCATTTGAATAACCTTTTATGTAAGATGTCCATACCAAAGACTGGTCAGAATGACTGAAGGAAGTATGGGCTTTGTAGCTGTCTTTCTCTGTTCCCTCCAAACCCTGCCCTTTGACTCAGTTTTCCCCTTTAATCTAGAACTGTCCAGATCTCACCTCAATCATCATAGACCCAGAAAAGTCTTTTGATGCTGCCTTGACCAGTCCCTCTTTAGGGAACTTTGTACTAGACTGCATCATCATTTTTAACGACTGCATCATCATTTTTAACTGTCTTTGTGTGATTACTCAGGACAGGTATGTTTTGTTCACGGTCACAGCACCAGTAGCTGCATGCCTGACACATAAATAGAGATTCATTACTGAATGAGTGAAAGTGAACAGCTCATTCTCCTCCAGCACTATTACCACATGTTGAGGCTGTTCCCTCCCTGTGCCCTCTTTATGGAAACACTTTCTCTGCCCTCACCTCCTAACTGCTATTCCCAGCTCCCCCACAACACCCTACGCTGGCAAAGGTGCCCTTTTTGTGTGAACCCATAACACTTCTGCTTACCCCATCATAGCTTTTATTTTATTCTGTTGTAATTGCTGTTGACCGTCTCCCTGTACTAAAGTGCACACTCCTGAAACTCAAGGATTATTTTATGTACTGTCATAGCCTTACACTTTGTATACTTTGTTCAGAGTAAGCTTTCATAAATATTTTTTGAATGAATAAATGTAGTCATGCCTCTTACATTCTTTTCTGATTATAAAAGTAATGCATTTCAACCTTCAGTAGGAAGGTGGAAAAATGAAAAGTAAAAGGAGAAAATGAGTTGCATATCATGTTCATTCTACCTTTCACTATTTTTTTTTTACCTTTCACTATTTTTTTAGGCAATAGATTACTTTTAAATGCCTTAGGTTATTTATTTACTTATGGGAATGTTTTACCTATTTTTTTAAAAAATAAATAAGTGGAGGGGATTAAGAGGTATAGGTATAAGTCACAGAGATGAATAGTACAGCATAAGGAATATAGTTATTAATATTGTAATAATGTATGGTGACATCCGGTGACTACAGTTTCCGTAGTGAGCATTTAGTAATGTATTAAACTGCCAAATCAATATGTTGTATACCTAAATCTAATATATCTCTGTCAACTATACTTCAATAATATAAAATAAATAGCAGATCTTGTATACATGTGTTTTTTGACTATAACATTTTTAATGGCATTTTTTTTCCTAAGAAATTATTGTTAAATAGGAGATGGAAAGATGTTTCATCAATAATCATAATTTTTCTATTATCTTCACCTCCCCTATTTTATTAAAGTAGATTTCTGTAGAGACTTCTGTCTCCTTATTTTAAAAAATTCACAGAGTCAGAGGCGCCTGGGTGGCACAGTCAGCTGAGCGTCCAACTTTTGGTTTCGACTCAAGTCATGATCTTAGGGTCGTGAGATCAAGCCCCACGTCAGCTCCACACTGGATGTGGAGCCTGCTTAAGATTCTTTCTCTCCCTCTCCTTTTGCCCCTCCACACCCCACATGCACATGCACGCTCATGTGCTCTCTCTCTCTCTCTAAAAAAAAAAATGTACATGTCAAATTCTGTAATAATTAAAAGCAACATAATAAGTCCCTTCCCCTTTGGTAGCTTAAAGTATACTGACTCTATGATTTAGTCATTAACCGAGTGGAACTCAGTAACCAAATGTTTTTATCTCTGTAGTCAGCATCCCTTTGCCATTTGGTGACACATATCTTTGGCACTATTGTTATAACATGGTCATTGTTCTTTGAGCAATCAGTCCCATCTACTGGCAATTTCTCAAATCCAGAATAACTACAGGTGTTTTATAGAAGGCTTTGATGTTATTAAAACAGGGTTTAGGGCGCCTGGGTGGCTCAGTCATTGAGCGTCTGCCTTCGGCTCAGGTCATGATCCCAGGGTCCTGGGATCAAGCCCCGCATCCAGCTCCCTGCTCCGAGGGAAGCCTGCTTCTCCCTCTCCCACTCCCCCTGCTTGTGTTCCCTCTCTCGCTGTGTGTCTCTCTGTCAAAAAGACAAAAAATAAAATCTTAAAAAAAAAAAGCGTTTAACAGGAGTTAAAACTACAGTATCTGAGGGGCTCCTGACTGGTTCAGTTGGAGGAGCATGTGACTCTTCATCTCAGGGTTGTAATTTCGAGCCCCACATTGGCTGTAGAGATTACTTAAAAATAAAATCTTAAAAAAAAAACAAACCTACAGCATCTGAAAACTTTACTTTTTAAAAAATTATTATCTGGGGCGCCTGGGTGGCTCAGTCGTTAAGTGTCTGCCTTCGGCTCAGGTCATGATGCCAGGGTCCTGGGATCGAGCCCCGCATCGGGCTCCCTGCTCGGCGGGAAGCCTGCTTCTCCCTCTCCCACTCCCCCTGCTTGTGTTCCCTCTCTCACTGTCTCTCTCTGTCAAATAAATAAATAAAATATTTAAAAAAAAACATTATTATCTGATAAGCAGTGTACCATTCTAGTCATTTGTTGTAGACAACTAACTGAATCAGTCATCTGTAATTTGAAGGCTGATTTGGGTGTGTGTGATGGGGAACAGACAGAATACATGTCCTGTGATCCAGGTCTCTTCATAAAGGGAAGTGGATATTTACAGCCTTCCTTTAGAGAGTTAGTGTGCATGAAATGAGAACAGTATTCACATTGTTTTGTCATATTTTCATTTGAGTGCTTGGTTTTTTAATTTGATCTGATAGTAAATATATTTTTCAACAAGTTAGAAGTGAAAACATACATGTAACTATGAAATGAGATGGGAATTAAACAGCTAATGATAGAATATTTTTCTGAGACAACTCCCAAAGTTTAAAAAACAAGCCTATCAGGTATAGTTTATACAAACCAAATTTATTCTGCTACTAGTAATTTTCATTCCCAAGTGTGAAATCCAAAATTCTCACTTTTTGATAAATAAAAGCAAAATGTAAACAGAGAGTAGAGGCAAGGGGCATATGGGACTTCATTATCCTTACATTCTTACAACTTTTCTGTAAGTTTGGAATTATGTCAAAATTAAAAGTTATCCCCAAATTCTTATTTTTTTCTAAAATTAGATGAATGTATATTTTACTCAAGTTTTTAACATTTCCAAAAAGATTGGAAAATATTCACAATATTTTTGTTTCTATTTGACTTTCATACCCTTTCACCTAACTACAAAATCTAAACTTGATAAAACTATTTTGGCAAGAGGATGAGGGACTTATACTAATTTGATTTCTAATATAGAGTCTTTTAGTCTCATGCTATTACTTTGCCCTTAATTTTTACTTTACAGACTAATTTTGGGATGAAGTGCTAACATCCTCTTGCCATCCAACTTATACTTCAGATGTGCTTTTCTTCACATAACACCTTGGTCATTAAGTTTTTCTTTTTATCAGCATTTTTCCCCTACGTTATTTGCATTTTCATCCTTCAGCATAATTCTTCTAGTCAACTAATAGCATACACTCAAATCCTGAGTTTACCGGAAGTGAATGATTTCTGAATCTAGACTTTTTCACATATATGTGAAATTAGCCTCATCTTCTAGAAATTATTCACCTACATATGCTGTCATTTTGTAATACTTAGGAAGACTAGGTTCATTTTCCAGAATTGGAAACCCAAGCCACAGGTGAGAAGTGACAAATATATTTATAAGCGGTGAATCTGGAATGTGGACTTGACTGGAATTCAGGTATTTTTATTTGCAGTGAATTCAGGCTGATAGGCAGCTAAGTGTTCTTGTCAAAGCACCTGACCCCGCTGAGTCTGTTTTCTCATCCACAGTATGATGATCCGGTTCAGCCCTCCCCTCAGGCTTGTTGTCAAGCACAAGCAAGGTGAAGTCAGGGGCAGTCACTGGAACCAAACTATAAAATGTTTTAGTGTCTCATCTTTCTTTTTTCTCTTTGTTATTCTGCATAGGAGTCTTTTAATTTTCCCAATTTAGTGCTAAACTACTTGGCTTTTTAATGTTCCGTTGCCACATAATTATTAAGCTTGTTACAACATGGTTATTTTTCATCTTTTTGATTAGTATTTTGGGTGGACATTGCTGCCAGTAATTTCAAACTGTTTTTAACTTTATGGAGATGATACAGTCACCATGAAATCACTGAGGACTATAATCTATTTAGGATAATTTAATCTTTTGTTTTGCAGTCCCAGGCTGTCTAATCTTCCTGGCTGGTCCCTAAAGGATGGAAATGCTTTCTTGGACAAGGTAATAATAACTGAGGCATATCTACACCCAGTGGAAAGCCATCTTGTCATACCAGAGCCACCCTATAGTAATGTGATGGATGGGGTCATTTTTTCCCCTTTGTAGTCTCTGAAAAATCCCAAGATCCATGTATGGTCTTCAGTACGTGGTGATTATTTTTAAGAGGCTTTTAGGGAATCTCAGTGTTCAGATTCAGGTCCAGTTTGCTCGTGTGTAAAAATCTAAGAACTTCTGCTGCAAATACATTTTATCACCACAGAAAGAAAACTATTATTTTTAGCATTGCAATGAGAGTTTCAAAGGTAATGCCTATAGAGAGTTCCATCCAGTTCGTTCTATTTTCAGGCTGTACTGACTCCGTGACTGGAAGGAGTAAAACTTTTTAAAAACAACTTTAATCCTCAAGAATATGAGTTTTAAACTGCTTCTGTCAGCAGTTAGGTAAGGTAGGGCTTTGAGAAAAGTTTGGTTCTTACTCTTTGGGTGAGGAGAGGCCATGGAAGGAGGGCATTGTCATTATCTGATCAGGTCACTCTGGCTGCCATGTGCAGAACAGACTGCAAAGCCAGTGTTTAACTTCCCAAGCAATGTGTTCTTGGGGGAGTGGGAGGGAAAACATGTTCTTGGGTAAATTTAAATAGAGGGCCTTCTAAACTATGAACTATCATCTTATTCCAACCTTTCCTGGTAGCCTAGAATGGACAGCCTTATATAGGTCATGAAAAAGGAGCACAGTTCTAGGAATCTAGGATTTGGGGTTCTATTCTGACTTTAATCACTGACTAGGCCTACAGTAAATGACATAAATAAATTTTCTTCCGAGGCTGTTAGATTTTTGACATTAGATTATCTTCACAGTAATTCCTTCTTCAGATCAGTTTTTAAGCAGTTAATTTACAAATCAGAGACCAAAGGTACAAAAATGTTAAAACTATCATCTAGTTACATTTTCTACTAAAAAAAATCAGAGGTAAAGGAAGGTTAAAAACTGTAAAGCTCATGCATGCCATTCTAAGTCCTCCAAATCATCCTTCCTCTCTCAAATTTCACTATTGAAAAACAAAAAATTTAAAGATCCTTAAAAAGAATCATCTGCGTAAGGCATCTCCTTCTTGTAATAGGTATTATTAAATAAAGAGATCCTCTTTTTACAGAATTAATTTCTGTAACTGCACCCCAACCTCCAGTGCAGGCCAAATGCATAATTTGAAGCCAGATTTCCCTCCTAGCTAACTGTAAAATTATGTGACATTCAGGAACCTGTGCACCTGATTTCAGCCTAACTCTCCTGCTGGTTGTAAATCATTGTTCCCTGAGAAAGGCTCAGAAGCATCCCATTACCAGTGCATTGTGAGCGAAAATGACTTGCATGTATATGTGGGAGCATTTCATTAGAAGGGAGTGGTGAATAAAATACAGGGACACTATAAGTGCGTGGAATGGCAAATATGCTTCTCCAGGCCAGGAAGGATTGAGCGCCTCAGAGGAGGCGTTGTCATGTGAGGTGGACATGCCCTGATGTGTAGCATTATGGGGAAGAAGATTACATAGCCAATTTAAGACCAGGCAGGACTTTGAAATTTCCCATGATTTGTCTTTAATCATATTTAGCCTCATCCTAAGGGAGTTGGGAGTCCTCTCCCATTAAACATAATTGCTCATTTGTTTTTTGCTAGCAGGTACATTGTAATTAAGAACTGTTTTCAGTCTGTTTTTGGCTCCATCTTTCACTGTTTAAATGGTAGTCCTATAAGGAGAGGAACCAGTTTATTACAGTGGAAGGCAAGGGGAGGAAGTCTTCCGTCAGGTTCTGATATGAGACTTGTAAAATTCAAAAGGAAAATCACACATAGTTAATACCCTAATTTCAGATAAAGATTGAGAGTACAACCATGCAGACTCTAATATATAAAGACACATATATAGGACTATGTAGAAATACATGTTCAGTGATTAATGAAAACATGATGGACAAAATTCTAATGGTATTTTTCTTTTTCTGGAAAGAGCAAACTGTCAACCAAACACTGACTTTTACTGGTTTCCATATAAAGTCATAGAAAACTTGAACCTTGATGAGCCAAAAAATCCTCCACAGATTTTAGTGTAAAGTATGAGTGAGGGAAGACAGCAACTCCAATGGCCTTCTGGAGGCATTGTAGCAGCCCCTCTTGGTGGCCCTCTCGTGCCTCTTCTCTGCATTGCTCTGTCTTAATTTCAGCCGCCAATACCTGTATGAGTCTGCCAGAGAGTTTTTCCCCTGAAGCTGCACAAAATGTAGGAGTTGCCATGTAAATATCCCGGATCACTTGCCTCTGAGGATGGTGACTCCAAGGTGTATGTTTTACACCATTTCTTAGAGTTCCCCATGGGAATAAGTCCCAGCTGTGCACAGTGGTGTGTAGCTCAGTAACATATCCATTGTCAGCCCCCTTCCTTTCCCTTTATCACTTGCCCATCCTCCTGCTCTTTTTTCAGTACTTCTCTGTTAGCTCGTACTTACCCTTTTCTCGAGGTCTGTTGGTGAGGGAATCCAAACTAAGACATATTAAATATGGTAGATCATGAGCAGAGTGGGGAGTTGTAGTATATTCTCTTTCTATATAAGTATACTTTTTTCTTTTGAATGAATACATTTGGTTTACAACCCCAAATAAATTGTATGCTCCGCAAGGACAAAGATTATGCTCACAGAGGTGAGGGCGATGGTGGTGGCTTAATCCCTACCCTGTACTCTTCATCTCCCTCCTTGTTTGCCCCCTGCCCCTCAACCATTGGTAGGAGGAGAAAGAGGCTGTAAGTCTAGGGCCAGGACTCCCAAGCTGATTGCATAACAAAATCACTAGAGGTGCTTGGCCTCATCCCCAGATTTCTGATCCCTTGGGTCTTAGATGACCCAGGAATCTTTACTTCCATCAGTGTTCCCAGATTATTCTGATATTGCTGGTATGGACTATATAACTATTACTTGGAAAGCACTGCATCATGAGTTAGAAAGCAGCATATGTCCACACATGCCTTGAAGAGGCATCAGGAAATGTACATTCAAATTCTGAGTTAGCCACCAACCAGCGTTTTTTATCCTGAATAAGACACTTAGCCTCCCTGAGCCTAAACAGGAAAACAGTTGGCCTGAGTAGCCTTCCGGCTGCCTTCCAACTCTCGAGAGGTCTGTGATTCTTCATGGAAAGTTTGGTTTGGGGATGAAGTTTCTTTGGTGCTGTATCTGTTGGGTATCTCTTCCTAGAATTTTTTACTTTTTGTTCCTTTTAGGAGCTAAAAGAGTGCTCAGGTCACGTATTTGTGGATTCTGTGCCTGAATTCTGCCTGCCAGAGGTAAGATGAAAGTGATTCTTACTGTAGAAACAAAGCATATCTCTCAAAATGAAGTCAAGCAATAATTTTAAGGGGCTTATTAGCTTTCTGTTTTCAAATTGAATCTGTTATTCCGGGCACATTATTATACAGCTAAAATATAATCATTTAGGAGTTTTTTATATTATCTGTAAGAAATTTAACTCTCCTTTTTGTATTCCTTGCTCTTTCTGTAATCCCCACTGACACTTTGTACCAGGGCATAGTTTTGAGCAAGGTACAGAAAGAACTCAAGCCTTTCAGTTTTGTAATTATGTGCCTGTATCAGATTAGCCATACTTTTTGTAGTCTTGTTTACAGTGGGTAATTGGGGATTGCTGTTATTCAGACAATACAGTAAACTGTAAAAGTTCTTGCTGACTTTAAATATCATATCAAATTCTGCTTGAAATTCACAGATTCTGAATTGAGCCATGGACACCTATTGCTTACATATTATTATCCCAGTGAGACTTGTTATAAGAGTTTGGAGCCAGTTTTATCATTTTAAAGGAAATGAGGATCAATTTCCATTCATTTTAAGGCAGCTAATCTCAGCTGACAATCCTGATCTCTAGAGCGGCATAGATGGCATTCTCAACAGAGAATACTCAACATACTCAACAATGAGTAGCTAGTCCCAGGTTCCTGAGGAAATCAACAAGACAGGCTACCATCCTGTTCTTTCCATGCACCCAGTGGATTACAGTGCATGTGGGAGATACTTTCACAGTTCAATCCCAAAAGAAAATCTGGAGTACTTTTTCCCTTATTTTTGTACTCTCTTCCTGCCTCTCCTTCCATCTCAACACTTTCTTTGATACTTTGTAGATAAACTTTTTTTCTTCAAAGTATGTGTATGTGCCCTTTTGGGATAGTGGAAGGAAAGAGAAGAAGATACAGTAATTGAAGGTGGCAGTTAAGGGAACAAGTTTGAGATAAAGTAGTAAGAATAAGGGTGAAGGTAAAGAGTTACCAGGAGTCCTGAGCTCTTCCTAACTGCTATTCAAATCTTTTGTCAACTTCATTTGTCATTTAGGAATTGGTGGGGCAGGTCCCCATCTGTTCAAAGATTCCTAATCCCAAGTGCTACATTTATTTTCAGTTTTCTACATATGGCACTGACTGCTGCAACCTTCAGTTTATGGACAACAGTGTAGAATTTATGAATTGTGCTCTAATGACTTTCTGACCTGTTCCATAGAGCACTAAACAGTCAAGACTTGGAATTAAACAATTGCCATTTCACAGTTCATCTTTTGCTGCGCTAAAGGATTATTGATATATTTAGGCTTCTAGAGCTGTATAAAATTTTTCCACTTGTATTGTCTTGTAGTTTGTGTCAAATTAATAATAGTCACTATTTTAAGATAGAGGTAGGGCATTGGATAACTGGGAGAAAATAGGAGAGTCACAGGATCAGGAGAGAGGTACTTACTCCAGTCCAGTCTTCCCAGACTTGTAGGTGAGCCAGGAAGACCTGCTCCCAGTCTTCACGGAATTGATAATCGAGTGCAACTACCTGAAATATTTTTGTACCCCCAAAGTACACACTGTAGACTGAGTATGAGGTCTATGGCAGTATAGTAAGCAGCCAGTAAATTATGAGTGCTTGACCCAATTCATGGTCTGTAGAACCCAAGTGTGTCTGTATACAAGTTGAAAATTAATCCTCATTGGATTTCATCAAGTGAAAGAATGTAAGCAAATATATAAATGTGAGTATATAAACATGGATTGGATGTTAAATTTATTTCTCAGAGGAAAAATGTTTATGTAGGCACTCTTGATATATATACAGACAGAATATGTATATATGTATATGTGTATATATATATTTTTTTCTTCCAGCTGTCCTCACCAGATTTCTCATCATTCTAGACTCTGTGGGCTGATTCTTACATATTTAAGAGAAATTTCAAACTCACCCGGTTTCTATACCCAAGAGGGAAAGTAGAGGTGCTTTTGAGCTTTCTTGTTGCTTCAACTCTTGTTCCCTTGTTTTCTGGATCTGTCACCCTGTGATTACGTCTTAATTTTCTTATTTGTTTAAAAATGGTTCTAGAGGGGTCGTAGGGAACAGAACTAGTGGAATGTTACATGACCCTTCATTATGAGGGTATTGTCTTGGAAATGCCGTGTACAACATGGAGTTAAGGGTGGTGTAAATTGGCTATTACTGTCATTAGGCATTTTATTCACACAGATTGCCATTGCCCTAGCAATGAGTAGCTTCTGACCTCTAATCTACATGCTGTCAGGAGCTGATTATGTCTTGGTGGCTTTATTAAATTAACTTATTTCATATATAAAGTCATTGAACTAGAAAATGCCCACAGCCCAAATGGCACACTGTCTCTCTTATTTGCAAAGATGTCACAGACATCTTTGTTACTTCTTCTCTGTGGGAGACATATTAGCTCAATAACCCATTCTCCTCACTAAAACACTTCCTTGACTCACTCCATGCTGTCCTTAGCGCACCATACAGTTTCTCAGAGGGAACTTCAGCGATTGAGATGATGCCTCTGAGCCAGGGCGACTCACGTTTTCCCACAGAGGGTGCCAGTTATAATGTTGCATCGCTCCAACCGTAGTGCACCGAGGCTTGCTTTGCACTGGCCACCATAGCTGGGAAGGGACAGAGATGAGTCGCACAGGATCGTTAACCTCAGAGACATTTAGTACTGGAGGGACAGAGGGGTGCTTTGAGGAGCTGTTGCATGGAATGGTAACTGTCCTAAGAGGGACATCCATAAAGTGCCTTTGCAGTTCTCAGGAAGAGATGTTGGGTTTTTGTTTGTTTTTTGTTTTCTGTTTTTTCATCTGGGCAAATCAGGAAGCCTTAATGGAAGAAGAGAATGGAGCCTTAAGAGACAGGTGGTGCTTAAATATATGGGAAAGACAATTCCTTCTACGAAAAGGGTTTTCATAAAACTTCCTAAACATGAGTGGCATTTTCCCTTTTCACATGACCTTAATAATGAAGTAAAAGGTAGATTTGAGGCTAAGGCTAGGGCAGAATATGAGAGTATAATTTCCTTTTGTGATTCTGCCACTAAATTTTTTGTTGTTGTTGTTCTGTATCCAGCACTAGTGGTCAAAAATCATCTCAAAAAAAGAAAAAAAGTTTCCTTCTGCATTTGACTCCTGAAGAGCCGGTTTCGGCACGCTGCTCCCTGTTACCAGTAAATCCGTAGCAGTGGTGCCTTATATTCTAGTTCCCTCACAGCTTCTGTTGTGTGCTCTCTGCTTCCTGGTAACTGGTTGCACTTTCAGGCAGCAGCTGCTGAGTGTCCCTGTTGCCATTTACCCTCGTATGTCAAACTCAGAACTCTATTTGAGTAAAATCGGAGCGCTGCTGGTGCACTCCTGCATTCTCACCGTTAGCCATCCTGTCCTGCTACTTAATGTCAGTATTAGGAAACCTCCTAAAATGAGAGAATGGAAGTGTTGCAGGAAAGGCGTCATTATTCTGTAGTACAAAAACGACTTCTCTGCATTCTGACAGCATCATTTTTCAGTCACATCATGCTGATCTGTGTGCCCTGAACAGATATGTATCATTCCCTCCCCCTTCTTTGCAGACCGAGCTAATAGATCTCTCTACGGTAGATGTAATCCTCATCTCTAACTACCACTGCATGATGGCGCTGCCCTACATCACTGAGCATACCGGTTTCTCAGGCACAGTGTACGCCACGGAGCCCACCGTTCAGATCGGCAGGTGAGAGCAGTTATTCTTACCCCAGGAGGAAGTGGCTGAAGCACTCCTTCCTTCAGTGGTGACCGTGTAATAAATAGAGTGTTGTGCCGGGAGTGATTGGTGTCTCCTCCTGAGCAGCTAACAAAGAATTAGCATGAATAGACAACTCTCTAAATAAAAACAAGTGTTCACTGGAATTGCCTCGAGATTAATGCGGCGAGTACTCTTAGTCTTTCTTGTTGTTTTTGAAACAAAGACTGGAGGAAGGTGTTCGCAGAGACAGCTCCTCTGTGCAGATGATACTAATTAGGGGAGGTAACGTTGAGTAAGATGCCACAGAGTTGCAAGGCAAAGAGCTTCAGGAGAAAGGAGCATAGCACATTTAAGAAAAAGAAGGAATTTTATTACTTTGCTTTCAGAATTTCCCCCCTTTATGATTTAGTGCAGACTGTAAATGGAGACAGCTTGCAGAAAACAGAATAAGTAATTAGATGGTTGAGTTGACTGTACTTTTGACAGAGTGCAACTCAGAGCTCTAAGCAGTCAAAGGAGCCTTCCTTTGACTCTGAGAACACTCTGCCATCTCTCCCTCTGCCCCTCCCAAGCCTTCATGACAGAGGTGGTTGCTTCAGATACCCCTAGCATCATTCAGTGAGAGAAAAGTTACGTGAAGAAAGTTACCGGGACGCCTGGGTGGCTCAGTCATCAAGCATCTGCCTTCAGCTCAGGTCATGATCCCAGGGTCCTGGGATCGAGCCCCGCATCAGGCTCCCTGCTCAGCGGGGAGTCTGCTTCTCCCTTTCCCGCTCCCCCGGCTTGTGCTCTCTCTCTCTGTCAAATAAATAAATAAAATCTTAAAAAAAAAAAAACCTACCCCAGAAAAAAGAGTTGAAGCAAACTAACAAGTATGGTGAAAGGTGAAGCTATCAAGACTCAAAAGAGGGGATCAAGGTGTTGATATGGACTCTTGGCTTTGGGTTCCATTGTCTTGCAGAAGTACACAAGATGGAATTACCAGAGATGAAACAATATGCCCTGGTTTTTATGTCAGCTCCCATTAAAGAGCATGTAATGTGTACAGAGAAACATCGGGGATCTGAGGAAGAAATCTGAGGAAGAGACATTACAGGGAAGTGAAACACAAGGCAACGGATCAGTTGCACCGAGAGGATAAGCCGAAAACCTGAGACTCTAGTCTGCAAAAGTTACCGTGTGAGGAAGGACACACCAGACTGTTCTCCAGAGAGCTACAGCCGGAACACTAACGTGCCTAGCCCCCAGATCTTTGAATGCTGGAACTAGTGCTCCTCCTTCAAGATAAAGGGAGGACATGGGATTAGGAATAAATAAATCCAATGGAAATGAAATGAAGTTGTTCAACATTCAAATGCCAGTAAATTGATGGCTTGCCATATCTCTTTGTTCATTGGGAGAGGATTTAAGTCAATATGGATCATCCATACTGGATTCTGAAAGGGGATTCAAGAGGTTAAAAATCTATTTCTCACTTTTTGGTCGTCCTCTAGCCATGCAGGACTCTAACAGTTCTCTGTGCCAGGTATTCCTCAGAACACGTGCATCATTGATCCACTCGAGTGAGGTTCCCTCAGTTGCGATTGCATCACAGTCCATCTTGTGATCTGCACACAGAACCTGTCCTTTTGCAGATCCTTGAGTTAGGCTTTTAGGATTAATCCTTAGAGTATTTTTCCACATGGAATTTTTTAAGTTCACAAAACGTGTCAAGAAAACGTACTTTTCCAGTTTAAAATGTCCCGTTTAATATTGTCATTAAAAAAAAAAAAAAACAATCCTGGTTGCCTGGGTGGCTCAGTTGGTTAAGCACCAGTCGGTTAAGCCATAAGGCTCAGGTCATGATCCCAGGATCTTGGGATCAAGTCCCACATCGGGCTCCCTGCTCCACAGGGAGTCTGCTTCTCTTTCTCTCCCTCCACTCTGCTTGTACTCTCGCTCTCTCATGCTCTCTCTCTCAAGTAAATAAATAGAAATCTTAAAAAAAAAAATCCTACCCCACCTCTGCTGCCACCAAAATCAGGTACTTCACAGTCATTTGACTTTTTCTTCTTTTAGATTTTTAGTTACATAAAGGCAGAGATCTTAAGAGTGATAGTTAAACCACAGGTTTGTATATTTCAGTGTTGAAAGATAAGATGCATGCCAGGCTTGTTTTAAAGGTGAATTAAATCATTTATGTTCGAAATGTTTAACATTGTTGAAGTTCAATGAGATGGTTGGGGTTTTGTTCAGGTTTATGTAAAAGGGTGTCCAAGTTTATATGCAACAGAGAGAAAGATGATTGGGGTGGAGGGAAGGCAGGCAAGCCCATTTGTCTTGGCTACAATGTTAACTGTACGGTGTTTTTCTCTTTTTTTAATGACTGTTTACCACTTTTTTCTTTAAACTCAGGCTTCTCATGGAAGAGCTGGTGAATTTCATTGAAAGAGTGCCCAAGGCTCAGTCTGCCTCCTTGTGGAAGAACAAGGATATTCAGCGGTGAGCAGTAGGCCTGTTTATTCCTCTTGACAGTAGACCCTTAGGCTTTGCAAAGCAGTCTCATTTGTTTTTTTACGTTATGCTTTAACATTTATACTGTTGTAACTGGAGATTCTCTTTTCCCTGTTTTAGGGAAGGGTTATGTTTGATTCAACCAATATACCGTGAGAGGCGACCATGCCATGTCCTGTGGGTACTGTGCTGGGTCTGACTTTTTAAAAATTAGTAAAACAGTTGGCACTGTTTTTGAGGTGCTCAGGGGTTGATGGGAAATCAGACCATTAACAGGTAAATTACAGTCTTGGATGGCGTGTATTGTAAGAGGTGCCTGTCACGGTGCTGTAGACACTCAGAAAATGAAGAACTTTCTGTGTAGGGAAGCTGAGGAGGACATTCTTTAGGAGATGACAATGAAAGTGGGTCTTGGAGGAAGAAAAGGACTCTTCTGATAGGAAAGGTCAGTAAGTGCATCCAGATGCAGCATGATGGGATATAGTATATTTGGGGACCAGGGAGAAGTGCAGGGTGGATTAGAGTGGGAAAGCAGAGAGGAGAGGTAGAGTTGAAACTAGAGAGGTACATTGGAGCAAGATAATGAAGAATTTGTTATGTAAAGTTTGAGTTTTATAATACGGAGAGTGGGGAGTCCCTCTGTGGTTTATAAGGAGGAGAGTGATGTGATCACATTTGTTTGGGGGAAAGTAACTCTGGAAGCAGCGCAGGGGAGGAATGGGGGTACAGAGACAGGGGCAGAAGACCAGGAGTAGGACTGTGAGAAACTCAGCGAGGGAGAACAAAAGCCTGAACTGGGGCAGGTAGCAGTGAGCATGAAGAATCTGACTTAAAAGAAATTTCTATGACAGAATTGAAAACAATTGGTAAGAACTGTAAAAAGAGGCTGTGAAGTCATCCTTAGGAAGGTAAGAGGAGAGCTGAGTGGAAGCAAGGGGAAAAAGGAAGTGTCCCCAAACCTGGGCCTGTCAGTGGCATCAGATGCTGCAGAAATATCATCCCGTAAAGTGAAGATGAGACCCTTGGTTATGGAAATCCTAGAGAGATTAGTGTCAGTAGAGTACTAGGGACAAAAGCCAGGTTGTAAGAGGTGACAGAAGTAGAAATATAATGGCGGAGGGAAGGAGACAGTTTGATTCTTCTTCCATGCTCTCATATTTGATTGGCAGTGGAGGACACCGGCCAGTCTTAGCTTACTGCAGTTCCTCTGAGCCTCCCAACCACTGCCCTACCTCCCGGCACCACAGTGGTCCCAGCCTTGCAGGCCTCGCATCCAGAGTCTGGAGTAAAAACTTCTCATTGGCTTTTTAGGTAGTGGGTGTCCCATACGTGCCTACCCACGTCCACTCTTTTCCAGCCACCTTGCCACCGAGTTCTCTTTCCCTCTAGGTCAGTGATTTGTTAGCTCTCTAGTTATCTGAACTTTGGAATGTCTTAGTTTTTGTGAATATGTATGTGTAGGGGCGCCTGGGTGGCTCAGTCAAGCTTCCTACTCTTGGCTCCGGCTCAGGTCATGATCTCAGGGTCCTGGGAATCAAGCCCCGGTCAGGCTCTGCACTCAGCGGGAAGTCTGCTTCTCCCTCTCCCTCTGCCCCGCTGTCCTGCACACGCATGCATGCATTCTCTCTCTCTCTCTCTCTGAAATAATAAATCTTCTTTAAAAAAAAGAATATGTATGTGTAGCTAAGAGACTATGCTTCCTTCTTATACTCTGTTTCAGCGCCTGAGCATCTGTGTGTCCTCTGTGCATTCCTTTGTATATGTGTTATTTGTTTTATTTAACTTCCACAGCACTTGCTGTGTGCCAGACACTATTCTCAATGTTTTACTTAATTCACATCATTCTTTAACATCATTTTACAGAAGAGAAAACAGCCACAGACAGGTTAAGTAACTTGCTCAAGGTCAGCCAACTAGTGAGCGGTAGGATTTGAATTCAAACCCATGCAGTAAGTCTAGTCTAGCTCCAGAGTTTCTGCTTTTAACCATTATGCCTGGCTGCCTCTTGGGCACACATGTCTCTTCTCGAGTGCGTGTGAGCCCCTTCATGTGAGGGAAGGGGGAAGTATGTGGAACTGCACGTTTTCTCTTCTGTTTTATGGATCTTCTTTGTGTCTCTATTTCCTTGACTGGGGATATGGTGTCCATATGTCTTCGTGGTAGGAAATGTTTTCTGGACACAAACACATTTGAGTCTTCTGTGTGTACGTGAATGACTTCCTTGATCTGACCACACATCTGCTTATGACAAGGTCCCTTCCCCTTCTCATTTTGCATTCTTATTCTCAGCTGCCTTTCCTCCTGCCCATTGCTATCCCTCCTTCCCCTTTTCTTTCTCTCTCCCGTATACCCACTGGACCACATCAGACCTAGTTGTCTACATTTCCCTCAGAAATTTTAGGACTTTGTTTTCTTTCCCTGTGGAACATGTAAGCCTTGGCTTCCCTTACTTCCTCCTTTTAAATTTATACCCTTTATATTCTGCCACAAATAATTTTGGCACACCAGAGGTGATGTTCAAAGGTCACTGTTTCCTGGTTCCCAAACCCTGGGCCAAGTCTTAAGAAGTCCGACGTCCTTATTTTTGCCTTTTCTTCTATGACCTTGGGCAGAGTCCTTGGCAGTTTTCCTTTGCCTCCCATTCTTTGTAAAATACAAGAAAACTGGCTTACAAAAGAAGTGCCATCGTTTATTAGGAAGAAGGGTGAATTGAACTGGAAGAAGCAGAGGGCGGGGAGGATGGGGTTGCAGGGGGAGCCTGAAAGTTATTTCCTAAGATGCTTAGAAAATCTCCCTTTTATTTATTTATTTTTTTTAAGATTTTATTTATTTATTTGATAGAGACACAGCGAGAGAGGGAACACAAGCAGGGGGAATGGGAGAGGGAGAAGCAGGCTTCCCACCGAACAGGGACCCCAATGCGGGGCTCGATCCCAGGACCCTGGGACCACGACCTGAGCCGAAGGCAGACGCTTAACGACTGAGCCACCCAGGCTCCCCGAAAATCCCTGTTTTAAAAAAGGGTGCTCCTTGAGATAAAACCTAACTTGCTATCTCGCCACCTGGTGGGCAAAAATCTGAAACTGCTGGAAGCTAACTTGGTAGAGGAGCACAGAGAATAACCTGCACTATTGGAGAAGGCCTGATTTCCTTATTTCATGTATCATAACCATATTTCTGATTCTGGTCAAGTATTTTGTTTTGGCTTTTGAGCATGAGATGAGCCACATTTATTGAGAGAGAAAGAGAAGAGTCTGATTACTGGAAATAATATGCTACAGTATTAGAGAACCAAACTAAGGAAGCTGTGTCCTCTTTTTCTCCTGGATAAACTCAGCATAAATATTACAAGTGGTAGAGGAATTTGAAGAGCTATTTTGTAATGACATCAGACAGAAGAGTTCTTTTGAAATACTCACCTAGAATTTAACCTTGGGCCAGAATACTAAAAGTGCTTCATTTGAATAACATTTATGCCGAAGGATTTACATCACTTTAAAATTTCTCTCTGTCACATGCCAGTTTCTATCTAGTGTCCCAAAGTACTGTGGCAAAACTAAATTGAGAAACAGTTTTTTTGCTGTCTGTTACATTGACATTTTTCCCAAGTGATATGAGCTATGTCTTATTTTTTCATTCCCTCTTTTTTTTTTCCTCTTTAATTCCTGTACTCACCTTGTCAAGAGGGGTCTCAGGTAGGGATCACAAACTCCGATGTCTCCGGGGATAGGGAAGGTAAATACAGGAGTGAGGTGGACTGTGGGTAACTGTGGACCAGCGACCACACCCATCTAAAGGGGCAGTTGACACACAGCTTCAGCAGATTATGGCCATATGGAAACGTGAGCCGGTTGCTGCCAAATCTTTTTTCTTTTTTTAAGAGAAACTCAAAATCTGGATGTTTTAAATGTGATTTTTTTTTTCCATCTTTTTAAAATGTTGGCTCGCACATTAAAATAAAATCCTGTATGATCCAAGCAAAACACCTCTTGAGTTGGATTGGAGACTCAAGCCCCCGGTTTTTGACTTAAACTTTACACAGGCTGTCTCTTGGTTAAGTGCCTAGAATTGATGCATTTTAGTAGCTTAAGTTATTTAATAAGACCACGAACTAAAGAAAATAATAAATTAAAATCTTTCAGACTCATTGGTCAAAGGGACCTGACAAATTCTCTTAAATCATTTGAAGTTAGTTTGAGTTAACATTTGATTTAGTATTAGTATGTATACCAAAAGAAGCTATTACTCTTGCTTTTTGGCAGCTGTCTGACTCCCTGCCTTGGTTGACACTGCTCCTTGAGATTTATTTAGAAGTTAGCCATCTTTCTTCCTCATTTTGATGCTGCAGTTTACTCTTCTTGAAAAAGAGATTTTGAAGGGTAGGAAAAGGAGACTCCCTTTGCAATGTAATTTTTGAGTCTCTGACTTTCTCATACCCACATTAAAGTTTAGGGTTTGTAATAGGAAAATTTAAAGTGGAATATTCCACTTAAGAAACTAAACCAGCAGGTAGGATTTTTCTGTATAAGACTAGAAATCTATAGTTATAATTAAGGATAAATCATTACAGGATATTGTCATAACCCTCTTGCAAGCATTAAGGAATTGTGCACCGATATATTCCTGGCTGAAATGTTATGGCAGTTTTCAGTAGTCAGAGCTTAAAATGTGGGTTCATACCTTATAGAAGACATGAAAGAAGACATAGTTGAAGTTCCTCGCTCTGATGCTCCATGGGTATTTATAGAGGAATTTACCAGGTCTAACTATATGGTAGGGAAAAAATTAAAACTATGGGCGTAGGGCGCCTGGGTGGCTCAGTCGTTAAGCGTCTGCCTTCAGCTCAGGTCATGATCCCAGGGTCCTGGGATTGAGCCCCACATCGGGCTCCCTGCT